TCCAACTTTTAGAGGTCTAACAAGGAATTGATTGTAAAGACCATGACTTGAACCAGGCACATGTTAGTCTTTAAACTGAAGTCATTGCTCCTTAACATCTTAGAGAGGTCCTTGACAGCAGATTTATCCAATGCAGTACATCTTTTGTTTTCTTCACTGAGAAACCCCTTATTCCATCTTCCCTCCCACACGTTTGACTTCTTTACCTGTTCGGATGTGGCTAGGAATGAGGGAACAAGCTGTCAATTTGCATGCGGAGGCGGGCTGACTCACACTCTCCTTGGAATTCTCACTGAAAGGAAACTAATGCCAGAGGAGTCGCACCCTTTAAAGAAATTTTTTATTGTGGTTTGAGTATAAAAAATGTAGGGTATATTGTTTCCCATTCAGCAATTTATACTCATTTTGTGTCGTGACATTGATTACAGTCCCCTCAATGTAACAGCACTCTTCTTTCTTCTTCCTCATTTCTGAACTTGGTTTTAGTTTGTTTGGCAAACTGTCACCCTTTTGGTCTCATGTGATTGATTTTCCTGAGGAAAATGTTCTCATGGATGTTGCCCCACTGCCATCTAGTAGGTTCCATGGCTACTCATGGTTTTCCAAGATGGTAAATGTTTATGGGAGTAGACTGCCTCATTTCCTTTGTAAGAACTGGCTGGCGTATTTGAACTGCTGACCTATCAGTTACCAGCCCAACATGTAAAACATTACAAGGGTTCCTTGTCTATAAATTTCTTTTGCCACATGATCAAGTGCTTCCCATTTCGTTTCTGCTTTCCTGGCACACTGGAGGCCGGAAATGGATGCCTGGAATCTATGAATCCCATTTTTGGGAAAACAGAGGGTAGGTGTGGTTATTAACGCACACCTTGTTTCCATTGTTCTGAAAGGCTCACCTCATTTTGTCTTGACTTTATACACTCTTAATCAACTACCACTGAAATAGAATTTTAAAAATTGCCTAATAATGGTTGTGGGTGCAACATAAAGTGAAGACATGAGTGCTGTAGCCCCACCAGGCTTGAAAAGCACCCCAGGTAAAGAATATCTGAGGAGGGGCTTCATTGTACTCCTGCGAGCAGCACAGATAATGACCACAGTGATCCTAGGCATGTGCCTTTGGCTCTTTGAGGTCAGAAGACAGTTCTAAGAAGTAAGAATTAAAAATTGTGAACGATAGTGTGTCTGAGGTTCTGCTTATGAGGAACAGAATGTGTTCTATTTAGAATTGTATGGGGAAACTGCTCTAAAGACCAGGAACGTTAGAGTAGCATGAAAGCTGAGAAGATTCAGAAGGGTAGAAAATAACTGGAAAGTTATTGAGAGCAGAAAAGATGCTTTTCAGTTTGTGTATTACTGAATTAGAATTAAGAATTCAAGTGACCTAGCTGTCCCTCAATAGAGACATTCGTTAGACATTTGTTTGTCAGACTTTCAATCTGGATTCAGACCAAGGTTTGGGGAGGCAGCCTCGGGAGGGGCCTCTGATAAGATCCTCATAGTGGTAATAGCTGGTGGCAAATTGCTCTGCTAACTCAAAGGCCAGGCAGCTGGCAGTTCAAACCCACCAGCGACTCCTCGGGAGAAAGATGGGCAGTCTCCTCCCATGCACCTCCCAGCGGCAGAAGACCATGGAGAGTCACTCTGAGTTGGAATCTAATCGATGACAATAAGTTCAAGTTTCTTAAGGAGTTTATAATCTAGCTGAGAAGGAAAAAAAGCCCAAAACATTTTCTCATGTGAAGGATTAGCCAGCCAGTACTCTTTCATGTAGCGGCCTTCTCCCTTCTGTTCCCTCTTCCTGCCCCTCCATTCCCGCCTCTTCTCCCTTGATGAAAGTACTTGAGCACAGCACTGTGACCTCATGGTCGAGGTACTAATTACATGATGACTGGTTTCCAGGAGCTCTCGAGATGCCACGTAAGGAGGGTTGTTGTCATTCGTTGCTATTGAGATGATTTACTCACAGTGAACATGTGCGCAGCAAACTAAAACCTTGCCCAGTCCTGTGCCGTCATCATCATCAACATCATAGCAAGGACAGTAGAGGCTACATCGTCATTTTTAAGGTTTAGCATTAGAATTCAGGCGTCATCACTTCTACCACCTTCTGTTGGTCATAAGACCAGATCCAAGTTCGTGGGGAAAGGAACTAGACTCCACCTTTGTGTGGGCACAGCAGTAGCAAGAAATTACAGCTATCTTTACTCTTTCATAGCCACTTCCTAGTGGAGATAGCTCTCAGGGCTTATGTGACTCCATAGCTAGTGTTTTCCACTCCCACATTCTCAATTACTTGCCTTGGTTATTTATAGATTATTTCTACTTGAATTCTTTTACTGAACCTCAAGCTAAATAAGTCTTTAAAAAAATTCTCAGAGCCTCTCTCCCTCTTGCAGCCAGTTGACACCAGCTATTTCATTTTGATGGTAAGTACCACAACTCTCTCTAGATCCCAAGCTGCAAATCTTCAAGCCATTTCTTGAAGCCTGTCTACAATAGTTCTTTGTAAAATGTGTTAGGACTGTCATCATCTTGGAAAACTCCTCCTGCCTATATTCAGATCATCTCTTTATGCTTGGTCCAACTTACTGCTACTGGGTCAGAATTCTTACATCACAGTTCTGGTCATTTTGTGCTTCTGCTCAGATAGTCCAAACACCAAAGTATGCAGACTCCCAGTACTGTGAGAATGGCCTGTTTAGGACTTTGTCCTCCCACCTCCACCCCCCACTATTTCCCAAATTCTCATAAACTGGATGGGAATATCTTGCCTCTCTTGCCTATGCACCTATTCCTTATGTATTCTTTGTTTTAAATTCTGAGCCACTACCCAATAATATTCCCTACCTGTTCCTATCCAGCCTTCTGTTCCATAAAGTCTTCTCTGGCTGTTCCGCCAGCATTAGTACCTGTCTCTCTCTCTAGAATTCTACATATACTTGGAACTATTGCCATGGAGTTGAAGAATTTTTTTTCTTTCCACAGCTACTGTTTGTATCTCAATAAGACTATACGTATCAGAAGATGAGAAACCTCTCACAGCCCCTAACACAAATTGAGCACAGACTAGTTAGTTGACTAAAAAATAGTTTGAATGGCATGATGATAATAACACAAGTATGATGAGGTAGAGTGGTCAAAGGGGAGAACTGCTAGAAGGATTAGAAATATGGAGGGTTAGTTCTGATGCATAAGGTATTCTGTGAAGATTAAGGAGTAACCTAGTGATGCAGGGATTAAGCACTTGGCTGCTAATCAAAATGTTGGTTGTTCAAACCCACACAATGATTCCCCAGGTGAGAGAACTGACATTCTCCTCCCATAGAAAATACAGCTTAGGAAATCCTACTCTGTATAGAATAGATACTCTGTATAAGATGATGTTCTGGTTACTTTGTGGTAAGCAACTGCACTGCTAACTCAAAAGGAGATAAACGCAAATCCACCAACTGCTACATGGGAGAAAAATGGCATTCTCCTTCCGTGCAATTTATAGCCTTTGAAAACCTCCTGGATGGTCAGCTATGAGTCAGTTCTTACTCAGCAGTACAAAGAAAGAACAACAGCATAAGTTACAGAGGTAAAAATCAACTCTGTGGCACTTACCAAGAAGGGAGTGTTCCTTGGAAATTTCCTGTGAAACGTTAGTTAACAGATGTGTGCTAGCATCTTGTGGGGGAAATTGGGCCTTTCTGTGACAGCATGTAATCATGCTTTATAGAGATCATTTCTGGGATTATATTTCCCTTAGGAAATCGGGGGTAATACAGTAGATTTCCCTATGAGCGTTCAGTCTCCCATTTTCTCTCTGAGACAGAACACAAATACCGGAGGCACAAGAAAATGCAATAAAACATCATCTGAGCCAGTCCACAAACATTTAACTCCATTTTTAGAAAACGTGAATACGTGTAATTTTATTTATACGTGAAAGAGAATTTCTCTTTATGACTTAACAAATAAATGGAAAATGCTTCTTTCTGGGCCTTTGTTGACAGACATAAGGTATAACTCTTCCCAAACGGAAAATGTTTAAAAGGAGGATTTCTTGAAAAAATATAAAATATCCTAAAAAATTTAGTTATATAGATGGTTAGAACATGTACCTAAATAGTATAGAAAATGAATACACAAAATAATGGCTGCATTATTTATGCTCATTACTGAGATTAATTCCAACTCTCATAGCAACCCTAAAGGAAAGATTATAACTTCCTATAGAGTTTCTAAAGCTATAATATTTATAGAAGCTAACTGCCATATTTTTTCCCCAAGGAGTGGCTAGGGGATTCAGACCACTTACCTCTTGGTCAGCAGCTGCACCACCAGAGCTCCTTAGATCACTTTTAAAACCATTACATTTACAATGTTAGAAGAAAAGGAAAGCAGTGGAAATACACTAAAATGTTATGTGGTTGCTCACTGATAGAATGATGGATGATGTTTTTAATTCTTCATTCTTTTTTTCTACAGTCCTTGTAATTTCTTTAATAAACATGCATTTCTTCAAAAAACAAAGAAAAAACAGTCAGTATGAATGAAAAGTTGTTGCTGTTGGCAGAATGAGTTGACCTCCAATTCACAGCAGTAGAATCAGATCGTTGTGACACCCATAGTTTTCATCAGTTGATTTTTCAGTGTGTCTTGGCACACCTTTCTTTCTAGTCTATTTTAGTTCTGAAACATCACTAAAACCTATTTAAAATCAGAAATATTTGGTGCATATTAAAAAGAATTTTTATTTACTGTTGAAGACCACTTGAACAGAATTAGAACCCTGTAGTCTAGTGGGTAAAGAGTTGCACTTCTAACTTAAAGGCAGGCAGTTCGAATCCACCAAGTGCTCCACAGGGGAAAGATGGGAAGTCTCCTGTATGATTTTCAATCCCTGAAAACCTGCTGAGAGGTCAGCTGTGGGTTGGTTCTGGTTCAGTAACAAGGAGGTTTTTTTGAGATTTGAGCAGTTCACTGACCATCCTTGCACTTCTTTCCAGGTGGACGGGGACAAGATGGATGCCCAGTCATCACCTTTCCAGACTACCCGGCTTTCAGCGACATCCCAGACAAAGAGTTCCAGAATGTCATGACTTATCTCACTAGCATCCCAAGGTGCGTTGCTGCCTTATTACTTATGTTACTTTTTAAGAGCAGTTTATGCCATCTCATTACATTTACCCAGCAACTTTTTGTTCGGTAAGGAAAGTATGAGTTGTAGGAGCTAAAAGACTGTTTTACAGTTGCATAGCTAATACGTGGGAGATCTGCGCTTGGAGTCCACTTTGTCCAGCTCCCTACCGTGTGCCCACATCTTCAGGAGAGATGTCCTGCTGCCTGTAACAGCTGATGGGTTGTTGTACAGCAGAGATCTGACTGAAGCTCAGAAAGCAGCTTTCTCTCAGGAAAAGGGCAAGGTTCAGGGGTGGTGTTCAGAGGGTCAGATTGAGTCGTTGTTGACTTGATGGCACATAGCAACAGCAACAACATGAAATGCTAGTAGCCCACCTATTAGAGATGTCAAGGTTTTCAGTCGAGTAGTTGTTAGGTGACATTAAGGCAATTCCATCTCCTCACAACTGTGTATACAACAGAAAGGAGGACACTGCCCATTCCTGCACCATCCTCACAACAGCCACCACGTTTGAGCCCATTACTATAGCCACTGTGCTTTCGTTCTGGCTGAGGATCCTCCTTTTTTGCTGACCCTCAGTACTTCATCAAGCACAGTGTCCTTCTCCGAGGACTGCACCTGCCTGATCCCATGTCCGAAGTGTGTGAAGCAAAGTCTCCTCATCATTACTTCTGATTGCACTCTGGCTCTACTTCTTTCAAGACGGATTTTCTTCTTCTTCTGGCAGACCAGTGTTTATTCTTCACCAACATTATGAACCAAAGGCATCAGTTGTTCAGTAGTGGAATAATGTGTGGGCTGGGTTTTGTCCCTTATTAGCTGAGAGAAAGCTGTTGCCGAGGTGAATGTTCTTGGCATATGTCAGTTGATCACATTTGTTATTTTGGCCCATTTTTCAGATCAAACTAATTCTCTTAATATGTACAGTAAATGGAGCTTTGTCCAGCCTTGTGCATCCCAGGAAGTCTGTCCCTGAGGATGAGGTCTAGGTTAACACTTAAAGCAGAGGAGGAAATAAAGCCCCCATCTGCTTTTTCCCCAGGAGAAAATTGTCCCAGAACGTATTATCTGGGAAGTCCAGTTAACTAAGAAGTGAACGCTTAGGGTTATGGTTTTCTGTTACGAAGGACTGAGTTCCTATCTTCTGAAATGGTTAAAGAAAATCACCTCTGTGTCTCACCCACAAACTCACTGGTAGAATGTGTCAGAATCCTCCAGCATGGAGAGGTGACACTATCATCTAAATGCTGCCCACTTAATCTTTCAAGCATATATGTAGATGGTTAACCTCACATCAAGATAATGTGGTTTCTTCTTCTTTTGGTGATATAGTGGACAATGCATTAAATAAAGAGTAAACTTAAGACTGACATGTTTTTTAAAAAGATTTACATTTCATTTCTCATATTGCACACAGTAGGAGGAGGACATAAATATAGAGGAGATTTTAGACAATAAATATGAAGGTTCAACATGGGTAGCTATGCATTAATGTTCTGTATCTTTCCATTTATTAATTGTAGGACAACAAGTTAAAGAATTTAGGTAACTTGAAATTGGCAAGTATGAGAAGTCGAATGGGATGAAGTCTAGATATCCCCCAATGTTTGGTCCTCTCCTGCGAGGAAATGCATCTGATCTAGAAAACTGGTCAAAATGTTCAACATATGCCATATAGAATCCACCATATTAGTATTCACCAATTACTACCGATTGAACTCTAGTGTTGGAGAAGAGCACGGAATATTTCGTGGACTGCCAGCAAAGAAGTCAAGTCTGTGTTAGGTCAGCCGCAGCCAGGGTGCTCCTCAGAGGTGGGGTAGGGAAACTACTTCTCACATACTTAAGGCAGGTTTTCAGGAAGGACCAACCAGTCCTTGGAAAAAGACCTCATGCTGGAGAAGATGGAATGTCTGAGAAAGAGAGGAAAAGTCTCAATGAGATGAATTGATGCAGTGACTGTACCAAGGTGCTTTGAGTCCATCACACAGGATAGGGCAAGGTTCAGATCTGTTCTTCACAGGGTTGCTATGAGTTGTAATCAACTGAATGTCCTCTAACAACAACAAAAGCAGTTACTATCCGTGGTTTGAGGCGGAGCAGAAGGAAGCAGATGTGTCTTAGGTTTGGTTAGCAAGCTGGCAGGTTGAAGAAGGGACATCAGTTAAGGTAAAGTATTAACTGATAAAAATGGATGTTGAACAAACATTTTATAGAAAAATTGTCTAGAGTGGAAGCAAAGGTGTTTAATGTCCGGGGATATGAAAGGCTCAGGAATAGCAGAGTCCTAGCAGTTAACTGATTTACAGTTGGGTTTAATTTTGAAGTTCACATCCTAGCATTAATCATTCATTCATTCTCTGAATGTCTTAGAACACAGCAAGTGCTGCTTGTACTCATGGCAGTGTGCTGGGTGGCATGAGACTTGGAGTGGGAGTCTGAGCTGCTTTGCTCAGCCCTCTCTCCGGATGATGCAGAGTGCTTCATGGGTAGACACAGCTGTGGCAGCTGCACGCTGTTTCATCTCTATCGCATCTGATCCCCAAATCCCACCGAAACAGGAAGGCAGCTGTCCCACTCCTTTTGTAGATGAAGTCTCTGAGTCTCAGGGAATGAAGTCTCTTGAGTAAGATCAGACTTCGAGAAGGTAACTGGCTAGGGCTGGAGGAACATCTCAGACGCTCCAGCCACTCAGCTGCCTCGGCATCAGCTCCAAGCATGGTGTAGCTGCACAGAGGCTGATTCTTAGGGGAATGATACTAGGAGAGGAAAAATGAGCCTGTCATGGCCTCAAGCACCATAGGCTAGCACCGCCACTGGTCTGCATGGTCTGAACTCAGTGGCCACGATGGCCTGGAAATGGAGGAAATACTGCAAAAAGCCAATTAGATAAAAATAGCAGTAATTTGAGCTTGAACTAACTAAGCTTTGACAGGGTTCTGTAGAACAAAACTATTAAGATATATTTTAACGGGGGGATGGCTGAGGTTGGCAGCTGACTGTGCGATCACTTAGTGTGGCCTCTGGTCTTGCTGGAGAGCAGAGCTCTTGGCCAGTGTGCTCACTAGCCCCTGGAGCCTTCTTAAAAGGGCCATCTCCTCGGCTGATGACAACGTCCAGCTAGAGTGGCTCAGTGGACCTGGATGCTTCAGACAGAGCAATGGGTATCCCTCTAGAGTTTTGGCTCTGCCTGTACCTTCAAGGCTCTGTTTTGTTTTGTTTTTTGTTTACCCTTCCTTCTCCACAAGAATGGGATTTTCTTTGATAAAAAAATGCTACTGTGCAAATGGATCCTGAACTGAGACCAGCTTCAATACCTAGAGAGGTTCAGAGGGGCACCTTAATCCATTCTCATCCAGCACTTTCATTGAAGGCTGAAATATGAAGACAGGAACGATCTTACAGTTCCCAGAGTTTGTCTGCAGCTTGATGCAAGAGAGAGAAGCCAACCCTCTGGCAGTGATGAGAGTGGGGACTTGCCCTCAGCTGGATCCCTGGTGCCTCATATTCCAGTTGAAAAACCCAAGTTGAGAAACTGTCAAGTGACCTCCAATTCATGGCAGCCCCATGTGTGCTAGCAGAATAGTTACTGCTTCCCAGGACTCAGTGCTTGCAGACTAGATCACCAGGCCCTTATCATGCATTGCCTCTGGATAGACTTTTATCACTAGCCATTCCAGTAACAGCCAAGCCCTGTAACACAGTGCATCATGGAGTAGGGATTAAAGTTAAAGAAAATGTTGTTGTCTGAAGATGAAATGTTCAGTGACATTTAAAATATTTTTTTAGACGCTCTGAATTATACTTAGGGTATGTGATGTGAATTTTAAGCTTACATGTCTCTCTTTTTCATCGAACAATGAAAAACTGACTCCTTATGGAGTAATTTATTTATGCACATCACTTTTCTTGAGATGTAATTGGATAAAATCTAAAAAACATGGAGGCTGTGTGTGGATTCTAAAGAAACTCATAACCATCTGTTTCTCACAATCCGTCAGAGTACAGCAAGTTCCTGACTGACTGGGGTTCTGTCCTAATGACTCAGCCATAAGTCAGATCTAACATAAGTTAAATTATCTGCCTTTTGGGTTTTCTCCATTAGTATTACCTTTTCTCATTAGTATTTTTATAAATCATGCATTCCAAATCTGTGAGAGAACTTTTGACCATGTTAACATCAGCAAAGTACACACAGAGTCAATCATTTGCAGCACTGTGTGCAGTATGTGTTGCTGCTGTTATGTGTTGTGGGTCAGAACTCATGCCTGACCCTCCAGCAGGTTTTCAGAAACTGTAAACTGCACAGGATGAGATTGCCCATCTTTCTCCCTCGGAGCCACTGTTGGTGTTAAGCCTCATGCCTTTGGATTGGCAGCACAATTCCTTACCCCCAGGCCACCAGAGCTCTCTGCATTGTGTATTACTGTCAAATGTATTAAAAATGTTAATGTTCTGTGTCCACTTGGCTAGGTCAGGATTCTCAGTGGATTGACAGAAATGTTATAATTCTATACTTCTCTCCTTTCTGTTATCTGGTGTAAGCAGCCAATCAGCGGAAAAGGGAGGTCCTTGAGAGTGTGGCCTGCATCCGGTGTATATGGATGTTCTGACAAATCATGCTCCCTGAAGCTCATGGTCTCTTGATCTTGTATCTGAGGCTTTGTATTCTCTGTCCTCCAATGCTTGGGATATGAGCCTATTGCCTGGCCCATGATATACCAACTCTACCACTCTGCAAGCCATTTCCTGTACATATCTGTACTCCGCTTTTGCTCTTCTCAAGAACCCCACCTAGATTGTTGCAGGAATTATCAGTACGTCTCAAACCTTCCAGATCCTTCTTGTTACCCAATTGATTTTCTCTGTGTCTGTTTCTTTTCTTGCCCCCCAGTACAGGGATCTAAGATTCAGATTTTTACAGCGAGAGATTAGAAATTCCCACTGGCTATCCCTGTTGTTCTATCCCCCTCCCACATAA